AGAGCCAAAGATGTTAGAATTGTGTCGATGTCCCAATATTTCTGGACCTGACTGTAGAACACAATACAGTGATGAAGAAGGTATCCTTAGATTTAACCAGTGTCACCTTGTTTCTGTAGATGTTTTGGAAGACTGTTCTCCAAGTGGCTAAGTTCTTTTAACTAAAGAGTTATTTTTTAGCAAAACCCAAACCCAAGGAAGTAGATGTTTGGAAAATATTATAATGGCAGTCTGCAACTTCTTTTTCTTTTCTTTTAAACACAGGTCTTTCACTTGCTGCAGTCTTATCTGGAATCTAAACAGAGAGCTAATTCAGACTTTCATCAAGGTTTGAGCAACATTATCACTAGTGTATGTGGCAAGCTATGGTTGGCAAAGAGGTAAGTCAAAAACAGGAATATATTTATTTATAGTCCCAAATCAATAAAAATAAAAGCAAATATGAAGCCTAAAAGTACACAGTAAGCCAGGCCTGAAACAATTAGTAATAAAAAGAGGGTACCACATAATTTCTAAGAACTTGGCAACCTTTTTAGTGTTGCCTACGCTGGATCTTGTACAAGGAAGACTGTAATCTCTTGGTGAGACAGCTAAGATTTCTGATAAATGGATGTATCAAATGCCATGAGTGATTTAATGGACAATTTAGGACTACGTGAGTTGCTGACTCAACTGCTGTCTGAAAATGCACTAATACAGTTATCATATGGGAGAGAAGTATATCTGTCTGTCATCATAATCGGTAATGTGCCAATTTGGGCCAAAGTAAAAATTCCCTGTGAAGAGCAAGTAAGATGTTCTAAAACTATCTAGGAATTGTACCCTAATGGAAATTAATAACTTTTGCTTTCTCATTTAATCTTTGGAAAGATTAAATCTTAGTTCCTCAGGGTGAATTCAGCCAAGGTCTTATCTGGGTCAGATTATGATATAGCCAGGAATGAAAAGCAACTATAAGCCAGGCAGAGTCAAATTGCCTCCTGAGGGTTGAGATAAATATATCTAATAGAGTAAGTTGAACCAGGGATGCTCCCCCCTCTCCCCAAATCTGATACGGCAAAGTCTCAGCTGGGCTCCAGGATAGGTGCAGACTCACAGAGAGCTCACTTGATTATTCCAGCAGTTGGAAGGTTGGAAGTGGATGCCTTTCACACTGAATGTATTGCTGGTTCACTGTGGATTATAGGGCTGAAATTTTTATTGAAAATGAAAAATAAAAATATTTTAAAATCAGTAAACCATTTCTTGGGTTTTCAGTCTCAGATATTACACATTTTGCTAACTGTAAATTTTTCCTTTTTTATTGTTATATCAAGCCATTGGTTATGTTTTCATAATCAAAAATAAAAACAAGCTTCTGAATGAAGAATTAAAAAAGGACTTCTAGATTCCCTGTAGTGCTCAAGTAGATTCAGCATGACCATAGCTATAATAAAAAGGGCCTTCAGAAAACATAAGAGTTTAAGGAAAAAATAAAGATGGAGTAACACACAGTAATTTTCTCCTAAGATTTTGAATAACACAAGTGTAATGGTTAGGCAAGAGTTATAGCAGTGCACTCTCACAGCGGTGAGATATATGTGCCCTCCTAGGGACATTCAGAACTGTCTGGGCTGCCACATTCTGCACCAGCTGTAGCTTCCAGATACTCTTCAAGGGTAGCCCCATATAGAGCATGTTATAGTAATCCAACCAGGAGGTGACCAGGGCATGAGTGACCGTGCGGAGGGCCTCCTGATCAAGGAAGGGACATAATTGCCGCACAACATGAAGTTACGCAAAGGCCCTCTTAGCCACGACTGCCACCTGCTCGTCGAACAGGAGTCGTGAGTCCAGGAGGACCCCCAGATTACACACCAGGTCTGT